ACAGTCTACTTCTGTGCTGATACTGCCTCGGAAACCCAAGGAGGGGTCGCTATGAGTCGGATCCTACTCAAGGGCAGTGGGTTTGGTTTGGGTTTTAACCATACTGTATCATGTAATAAGACTTTATTTCTCCTCCTGGCTGAGTAGTATTCCATTGTATGTATGTACCACATTTTGTTTATCCATTCATCTGTTGTTGGGCATTTAGGTTGTTTTCTACCTTTTGGCTATTGTGAATAATGCTGCAGTGAACACTGATACACTGTTTTGAGTCTCCACTTTAAAGTCTTTTGGGTATATACTTAGGAGTGGAATAGTTCATGTTTTGGAGGTAGATGACTGGACCTTTCTTCTGAGGTGCTTCTTGGTAGACTTGAATCTTCAACCTTTCAGTTGAGTGCTTAACTGTTTGTGCCATCTAGGGTCAGATATGTATCCCTAGGTAAACTGAATAAAGAAGTATCTAGCACTATTTAGTTTTAAAACTTTAGGGATGAATGCTGTGCCTTTTTTTTTTTTTTTTAATTGTGATTTGAGTGAAACTTTACAGAGCAAATCCATCTTCCATACAGTTAATATACACTTTGTCTCATAACATTGACTGCAATTTTCCACAATGCAACAGCTTTCTTCCCACTTCTTCCCCATAGTTACCTCTTCCCTGTGTCCTTCCCTTCCATGCACTCCTGCCCCAAGCTGTCTCCCTGTGCATACACAGCCTTTCTATTCTCCCATGGTTGATCTCTCCAAGGAGTGTATCTACCTAATGTAAATGTTCAGCTTATATGCTTGTCTTGTTTGGCTGGAAGCCACAGGAGTGGGTTCAATTTCAGACCTGAAGGGCAGCTAGGGGCCATAGTTTCAGGGGTTCCACAAGGCTCAGTGCTGTGCATTTTAAAGTAAATTTGCATTCAGAGATGGTATTTTCTAGATCCAGGGTGTCAGGACCCCTTTATACTTAAGAATTGAGTATCCCAAGAGCTTTTCTTTATGTGGGTTCTACCTGTAGATACTTCATTATTAATCTGCTTCTGCATTCATCTCATTGCAATAAAGTATCATGGTTGAAATATACAGTGAAACCTGTGAGAGCTGGAACTCAACAGGACTGCTTTGTTTTCTGGGTCTTAAAAGTTTTCTGCCTTTGATGGTGTAGTCTTTTTACCATTTTTCTATCATTTGTTTTAATGGAAAATATATTTGAGTTTTCCTTTGATAGTTTCCTCCTTACATAGGTTGATAAAGAAAATCTGTCTTCACACAAATATGTAGTTGGGGAAGGGAGGAATAGTTTGCTAGCCTTTTAAGATCATTATGGATCTTCTCTGATACTAAATCAAAACGGAAACAAATTGTTGTCTCTTAAAGTTAAAGTAATGAATGAAGAAAACCAAAATTCATGGAAACAATTAGTCCTAGCAACTGGTACACCATCCGATCTGCAGCCTATATGACTATGAGACCAGAAGAATTAGATGGTGCCCAGCTACCACTGTCATCCAATTGGAAGGGGATCTTTGTAGGAGATCCTTGATAGAGAGGGAGAACAATGTGGAACAAAACTCAAAATCATTTGGAGGGAAAAAAAGGGGGTGGGAGACAGATTTGCTGGTCCGATAGAGCCTGGTAGAACCACTGAGACTATGGCCCCTAACTGCCCTTCAGGTCTGGAATTGAACCCACACCTGTGGTTTCCAGCCAAACAAAAGACAGGCATATGAGTTGAGCATTTACCTCAAGTAGATACTCTCCTTGGAGAGAACAATCATGGGAGACAGAAGGGCTGCTTATGCACAGGGAGATAGCTCAGGGGACAGGAGTCCATGGAGGAATGGACACAGGTAAGAGGTAACTATGGAGAGGAAGTGGGAGGGGAGCTGTTGCATTGTGATAAACTGTGGTCAATGTCATGAGACAAAGTATATGTGAATTGCTGTATGGAAAGTGAATTTGCTCTGTAAATCTTCACCCAAATCACAATAAAAAAAGAAATAAATTAAAAAAAAAAGGAAGTTAGTTACAATAACTTTGAAATCATAATGTTGAGCCTTTTGGTTTTTCTTGTATTTCGAATGGATTTTTTTAAACCCCTGTATGATTTATATAACTTTATGCACTGATAATTTGAAAAATATTGGTTAACTGGGTTATGCATATCTCTACATGAGATATTTCATTATACAGTATCCCCTCAAGAACACAAATTTGTTAATATCACCACCTATCCCATCAGAAAAGGCTTTAATAGGAAACTGTCAAGCTCACAGTAGTAGATGTTTTCCAAAATTCTAACTGGGGGGGGGGAAAAAAACCAATGTTCATCTTTGGCAGGAAATAATGTCCATTCTTTTCTTCGCTGTAATAGGCTCATTTTGTTGATTTTTGGGAAACTATCTGTGAAACACTTAAGTCTGAACAGCCATAGTTTCTTATTTCTTTAAAGTAAAATGGTATTCCATGAAAAAAAAAAAAAGGTTGGTTCAGCTTACAGCTTAGCTGTGTAAATTTTCACCTTCAGACAACATCTGTTAGTATGCAGCAGAAATGCTTTATGTATACTTCTGTTTTGTCACACAAAATATTAAAAAGATAGTTGAGATTTAATAAAATTAATTTTTACTGCATTGCCTCACTCCGAGTAGAATGACTGTTAGTCCAAGTCCAGCTTGGTCTATTTACTGCCTTGCTTGATTCCTGCTAAGGTTCTAGCACTTGTTTACCCACCATTGCTTTTGTGTGATCAGTGTACAAATTGACATGGTACAAAAGTAAATAACATCTTAATATTATTATGAAAATAGTTTTGGCCTAATGTATGCCTGGAAAAGAGTCTTAGGGGTACCTAGGTTTTTGCAGATCACATTACGGGAACGAATGCACTAGGATAGTGCAAGGGGGCTCTGATAACTTTTCTGGAGTTTACAAAAACTCATCCTCTAGAGAAGAGTGATTTGCAACTCTTTCACCTTGTGTTTTTACTTATGATTTTAGTGATTGCAGTCTTGCCTTTGAAATAGAAAAACAGGCCAATTCCTAAGTACATGCTTGAATTTATATTTCTGTGCTTCATTCTTTTAAATAGCATACCATTTTATATTTGTAGGCCCAGAGTAAAGAGCTCATTCTATTCAGACACTGAGTAGCTTTGTTTCTGATAGCAAGTAGTCAGCTCTCTGTTTTAAAACAATCAGTTGGGTCCTGCTGGCTCAACTTGCATTTGTCCTAGTCCTAACCCTGTTTCAGCTGAAGACTGTTGTTGGAAAGTCCACACAAAGGCCTTGTGTATGGAGTGCCCTACTAATAAGGAGCATGTTCTAGTCCTAGTGGATTAAATCTGCTTTGGTTTGCATTCCCTTCCTAAATTCCTCACTTATTTCCTTTGTTTGGCTGGTTATTTCCATGAACCAGTTAGGTCGGTTTCACTGCTAGTAGAGGGGGTTACTGGAGTAAAATAACCTTTTTGTTTTTACAGTAGGATGTGATGGAGCTGCTTGAAGAAGATCTCACGTGCCCAATTTGTTGCAGTCTGTTTGATGATCCTCGAGTTTTGCCCTGCTCACACAACTTCTGCAAAAAATGTTTAGAAGGGCTCTTAGAGGGGAATGTGCGGAATTCGTTGTGGAGACCATCTCCATTCAAGTGCCCCACTTGCCGCAAGGAAACTTCAGCTACTGGAGTTAATAGCCTGCAGGTCAATTACTCCCTGAAGGGCATTGTGGAAAAGTATAACAAAATTAAGATCTCTCCCAAAATGCCAGTGTGCAAAGGACACTTGGGGCAACCTCTCAACATTTTCTGCCTGACTGATATGCAGCTGATCTGTGGGATCTGTGCTACTCGTGGTGACCATACCAAGCATGTCTTCTGTTCTATTGAAGATGCCTATGCTCAGGAAAGGAATGCCTTTGAGTCTCTCTTCCAGAGCTTTGAGACCTGGCGTAGGGGAGATGCTCTTTCTCGTTTGGATACCTTGGAAACTAGCAAGAGGAAATCCCTACAGTTACTGACTAAAGATTCAGATAAAGTAAAAGAGTTTTTTGAGAAATTACAACACACATTGGATCAAAAGAAGAATGAAATTTTGTCTGACTTTGAGACCATGAAACTTGCAGTTATGCAAGCCTATGACCCAGAGATCAACAAACTTAACACCATCTTGCAAGAGCAACGGATGGCCTTTAACATTGCTGAGGCTTTCAAAGATGTGTCAGAACCCATTATATTTCTGCAGCAGATGCAGGAGTTCAGGGAGAAAATCAAAGTAATCAGGGAAACTCCTTTACCTCCCTCTAATTTGCCCACAAACCCTTTAATGAAGAACTTTGATACCAGTCAGTGGGAAGATATAAAACTAGTAGATGTGGATAAACTTTCTTTGCCTCAAGACACTGGCACATTCATTAGTAAGATTCCCTGGAGCTTTTTTCAGTTGTCTGTAGTACTCCTTCTGCTTGGTCTTCTCATTGCCTTTGGTCCTGCCATATCCCTGGAATGGTCTTTATGTGATGAATTTGCAGCTTGGAGAGAACATCTTTCAAACTTCAGTTCCCACTATCTAACTAAATCAGCTGATTTTTTAGAACAATCAATTTTTTACTGGGAACAGGTGACAGATGGGATTTTCATTTTCAGTGAAAGATTCAAGAATTATACTTTGATGGTGCTGAACAATGTGGCAGAATTTGTGTGCAAATATAAACTATTATAAAATGTTTCAAGTAAACAGTTCTCTGTCCTTTGTTGTTAGAAATTTGTTAAGAGCAGAGTAGTAGTACAGATTTGGTAACGAGTCAAATATGTTCTTCAACAATACACTAAAAAATACACCATTCAGAAATAATGCCCTATATATGCTGTCCTAGTGTAAAAAGTGAAATTTAATAGTATAGTCCTGAACCTCCTTCCTTTTTTAAAGAACATTTTTGAAATAAGCACTGTCCTACCAGTATTGGTTGTGTTTATAGTGATGATAAAACTCGGAGGTGAAAAAACACGTGTACATGTACTGTATTAATGAGGTGGTCTAATAGTGATTGTTCATCAAGCATGCAATAAAGACTACTTTTATAAAGCAACTTTTTTTGATGATGAACATTTTTAAAAAAAGGAAAGACGGTTTGACAATATGAATAGATTTAATTTCTTTTCTTTTTTTTTTAAAAACAGGGTTGAGCCTATTGCCAAATGTAAATCTGTGTAAACAAAACTAGTATTTTCTCCTGACAAGCTCACATTTTTAGGTGTGTAGATTTTAGCCTGCCTTCCCTTAGTAATTGTAAATTTATCACCAAAGGAATAAACAGAAGTATTAGGTGGGCTGTGCAAGGAAATACAAAAGGTCTAACACGTGCCAAGAGCAGAAAATGGGAAAGTCACCTTTTTATTGGAAGTTAAGTGCTGTGTTGTGTTGTAGCAGCTGTACAATTAAACCAAAACACTTAATTTTTTAAAGACCATTAAAGGCTAATTTGATAATAGATGAAACAGCTATTATTAATTAAAAAGTAATCAGCTAAATACTAATGCTGTCCTATCTGCTCCAATGAGATCAAGATACCCTATCTACTACAGAATAAAATTACTTAATTTTTTCTCCTTGCTTACAATTCAGATGAGGAAAAAGGAACCACCTTATCTGAGAATTGCTCTCTAAGTCTGCCTTATTTCTTTTATGGAACAAGACATTTCTTCTGACAGTCCTTTAGAATAAAATTTCAGAGAATACACAATCTGACACTTTCTTTGTAAATCTATGGATTTGTTTACCTGACAGGATTCATAGTAGATAAAGAAGTCTAGGGGGAGGGGATGCTTTTCTGCTCCAAGTACTTTTTTTTTCTTCCTTAAATGTAGATATATATCATTTTTTTTTTTTGGAATAAAACAAATCTACTTGACCTGTTTTCAGATACAGTGGCAGTTTTCCTTACACTACTTATTCATTGCCTCATCTGTTGCTCCTTTCATTTTGTATACTGAAAGTTCCCAAGCAACTCAGATTTGCAAACACAGCTATTTGCTTTGTAATAGTTACCTGGAAATCTAGGTCTGTTTTTTATTACTCTCCTCCCCTCCCCTCCATTCTTAATCATATGTAACTAACAACATGTGTGGTTATAGGTTGATTTACAAGTTCCTAAGTCTGGTTGATGGTGTATAGCCTCTAACTTGCAGCAAGGGAAGAATTAACAGTCAGGAACTGGTCACTTTGAACGTGGGAGGGAAGATACTCACAACAAAGGTCTTCCACTTTAAAGCAGTTTCCTCCTCCTCGGTTAGCACGAATGTTAGATGGCAGAGACCAAGAATTCAGGATGGTTGATGGCCATTTTTTTGTGGATAGAGATGGTGTTTTATTTAGTTTTATCTTAGATTTTTTAAGAACTCACCAGCTTTTATTGCCTACTGACTTTTCAGACTATCTTAGGCTTCAGAGAGAGGCAGTTTTCTATGAACTTGATTCTCTGGTTGATCTCATTAATCAAGAACTGCTACAGCCAAAACCTGAGCTCTTGGAGGTGCATTTCTTCATCGGAACACTGAAGTTTTTTTTCAGAGTGTTTGGCTCTTGCAGCAAGACAATTGAGATGCTAACTGGGAAGATTACAGTGTTTATAGAGCAACCTTCAGCACCAACCTGGAGTACAGATCCTTTCCCTCAGATGACCTTACTTCCACTGCCTCCACAAAGACCTTCTTGCCATGACCTGGTTTTCCAGTGCGGCTCTGACAGTGCAACTGATAGCCAAATCAGGTATTTTGTACTTTGAAGCATCTCTCTTCTATAACCAGTTCCTTATGTTTATGAAACAGAAAGTTCCTCCTGCCCAAAACGTTTCTTGGAAAAATAAATGACTACTCAACACAATGTTTGGGGGTAACCAGTGGATTTGGGTTATAAATAGAGTAAATAATTACTGTCCAAACCGGCATGCTTTTCACAGTGAAAGAGAATACTGTTACAGGGGACATCTAAGAATAAACACTGCTGAAAAAACTGACAGGTTGTATCAGGAAATAATTTTGTAGATTATTGTCCACTGCTAATGAATTTGGCTCAGGAATGAATAAAATACTCGCCCCCTCGCCCCCGCCGCCAACAGAATCTCTTATTATCTGGCATATAGTTTTAACCTCTAATTTCCTTCCACAGCGTGTATATTTACTCTTTTAGTCCTTATGACTCGACTTTTTTTCTTCATTTCCTTTTAAACACCCTTGTTTGGTATTGTGTTAATCCTTATCAGGAGTGCTGATGGCACAGTGATTAAACTCTTGGCTGTTAACCGAAAAGTCAGAGGTTTGAATCCACTGGCTACTTTGTAGGAGACAGATGTAGCAGCCTGCTTCTGTAAAGATTACAGCCTTGGAATTCCTTTGGGGCATTTCTGCTCTGTCCTGCAGGGCTACCGTGAGTCAGAAGCAAACTGGACAGCAGTGGGTTTTTAAGTGCATCCTCAGCACTCTTAAACAACTCAAAATATTAGGATAAGCTGTGAGTCAGAAGCCACTTGATGGCAATGGGTTTGTCTTTCTGTCAGTATGTTAAAGTGCTTCTGAGTCAGTTAATTCAAACTCCCCACCCTCACCCTGTTGTTCTGTGGTCAGGGACATATTTTTTTCCCTTAAAAATGTCTTAATGCTGTCCTATTATACTGTGAAAACTGGCTTCCATTTTTAGGTGGAAAAAAGCCTGCGTGAATTCTTCACTGATAGCATTTAAAATAATGTACAATTTATTATTATTTTGGTAGACACATTTTGGGATACTTTGTAAATGTTACCAGTAACTATCAGGAAGGATATCAGTTCATTCTTCCACAACACATCCCTTGGTCCTGCTTAACAGCTGGAGAACACTGGGTGGCATGACCTAGTGTGACAATTATGTTTTTACATTTTATAATGTCCTGCCCTTCCAAACAAAAAAGCTGAAATATTCTGGGAAAAGAGAGCAAGTCAGATACACTGATTATGAAGAAAACCAAAGACTTCCGCTTTATATCACTGTTTAAGATACCTCTGTGTATAACTTTGTTTTCATTGGTGGGGCACTAATAAGCAGAAGAGAAATGACTAGCTTTTTTCTTTCTTAAAATTTTATTGTGTGATAAGACCTGAGGATCCTTTTTCAAAAAGTTAGAAACCTAAGGGTAAATGGTGTCATTGATTTTAAAAAGAAACATGCTAGATAAAAAGGTGATGTCCTGGAAATATTGAATGTTCTTTAAAACCTATTCCATTAGAGGAAGTAATTGTAACCTTGAAAAACAAGATTCCAGTGTGTATACCAGTGCCAACTCATTTCTCTTTTGTTTGTTGTTAAGTGTTTTTGGAAGGTGGAAACTGGAGGAGAAAGACTGGAATGGTCCCTAACAGTTTGGTGTTACTCAGTATATTACACCAATATGATTTACTACTCATAAGGTGTCTCACCCTAGAAGGTTGCTCAGTTATTATGTCTCAAGTTCACAGTACTAGAAACACCTGGCATGTATCCTGCAAAGCATTGATGTGATCCCATGATACCAAGCTCAAGTTATGACCACAGGATTCTAGGGTCTGTTGGGTAGCATTTCATCTCTTCTACCTGACCTTTCCTTTTTAAACTAGTTCAAATGGAAATGTGTAGTTCCCTTGTAAATTTAAAACAAACAAAATCAGTCTTGATTATCTATTTCCCATTGGTTTCTTTTGTACTTTTCTTGTGCCTTGAAATCTTTACTTGAATTCTCCATCTGGCCTCATAGGGAATTGAGTACTTTGATCTCTATGATTTTTTACAAGTCTGTACTACTTTGTTACTACCTATTATATACTGTTTGTATCTTAATTCTTTCGTGAGATTTCTGCTAACATTTTTTCTCTTTGATAAATGTGTTTTGGGCTGTACAATCAAGATCTGGGATTTGGGGATAAATGGAATGATTTACTGATGTTAAAAATTTGCTGTATCAAATATAATAAACTTTTTTTGAGATGTGTTTTGTAGATAGTTCTTAGTGAGTTTCTAAATGTAAACTAATGTAATCATCCCATTTCAATCATGATACTTAAAAGAAGGCTTGGAATATCCCCAAGGGGTCCTTTTTACCTCATAAAACAAATAGTTTGGGTCATACCTATAACTAATTTCAGTTGGTCTTTTCTTCACATTTCATAAACAGATGGTAAGAGAATACAGAGATAAAAATATCCTTGATGGTATACTAAAAAACCCAAACCCACTGCTGCAGAGTTGATTCCAATAATGATAATGTTCGTTATATAATATAAATATATTTTATAATATTTTTTATTTTCAGTACCCTGAAATTACAGATTTGGATTTGTAAATAGTCTTTAAAAAATCTGATAAAAAAATTATATGATGCTTGTGTTTGAGATTATAAGTAAAATTCATGTATGTACTTTTAGTAGCCACTAAAGGGATGTTTTATAATTAATTTCTCTTGTATGTGTCCTAGGTATGTTTCTATAAAACCTGATAACCGAAAATTGGCCAATGGAACTAACGTCCTAGGCCTACTTATTGATACTTTACTAAAGGAAGGCTTTCATCTGGTCAGCACTAGAACAGTATCCTCTGAAGACAAAACTGAATGCTATAGCTTTGAAAGGATGAAAAGTCCTCATGCCCTCACCGTGAGCAAAACACTGAAACCAGAGACTACCATCATGCTGGAACAAGCTCAGAAAAAGAAATGAAGCTGTTTTCTCTTAAGAGTTGTTAATGTTTTTCTTGTCTGGAAATTCTATGTTTGAGGCATCTATGTTAGCCAAATCTCTACTCAGCCTAACTTTTCAGCCTCATCTCCTACCATGTATCTATATACCCCCACCCCCACCAGTACCTAAACCATAATGAACTGCTTGCTGCTCTCCAAACACCACCATGTACTTGGTGCTTTGGCACACATTCCTTCTACCTTCAATGTGTCTTTCTTTTTCTCCATGAACACTTTACACGGCTTTTAAGAATGGGCCCTGGAATCAGACTGCTTGATTTCTAATCCCAGCTATGTGATTTGGGCAAGTCATTTATCCTCTTTTTGTCCTTTAGCTTCTTTATCTAATGAAGATAATAAAGGTATCTCCCTCACAGGATATGTGAGGACTAAGGAGATAATATAAAGTACTAATTTAATAAATGTTAGTGATGATGATGAGATGGACAGTCCACTTTTAATTGCATCTCTTTTGTGAGGCCTTCCTCCTTCCCCAAGCACATTATCAACCCTTTCTTTTGTACAGATGTCTATGCAATCAAAAAATCAATTTTTCCTCAGTTGAATGAGTTCCTTTATTCACTCATTTTTAACACTACTATTTGTAAAGCAATATGCTAAACACTTGGTGAAAGCAGTAATACCTTTGCTGCACTGGTGGCACAGTGTTTAATCACTTGGCTGCTAACCTAAAGGTTGGCAGTTCGAACCCATCCATTGACTCCATGGGAGAAAGACCTACATTATAGCCTGGAAAACCCTATGGGGCAGTTCTGTCACATGGGATCACTAGGAGTTGAAATCTACTCAAGGGCACGAAACAACATGTTACATAGTGCTAAAAACTCAGTCCCAGAGAAGGACATCATTCTTGGTAAAGTAGAGGTTCAGCAAGAAAGGAAGACATTCAATGAGATATATTGACACAGGGGCTGCAACAATAGGCTCAAGTGTAGTAAATATTGGGATGGTGCAGGGCTAGTCAGTGTTTGGTTCTGCTATGCACAAAACCTAACAATAAATACTTGGTGGAAGCAATAATACCTTTGTTACTAATCAGCACCTAAATCTGGTCAAAAGCTTTGAAATAACCTCTACCAACATTTAAAATACACATGTACTTTTGACTTAGTGATTCTTCTTCCAGGTGTTGTATATGTGTCATTTTAAACACAAGGATAAATACCTATAAGGAATCACTAAGTCAAAAGTACACCATATACTTTGGACATGACAGAAAAGGAAGCAATTTTTATAAGTACAAGTAAGTCATTAAAAAAAAACTTTTAAACATCTGTTAACATTGTACTACATTTCAGGATTAAAAAATAAAAATTCTTGAGCTCACATTCAAGTGAGAAAGTGCATCATAACAAAACGTTAGAAATAAAGTTCTTCAGTAAGAAACTAGTAAATTATATTTCATACAGTGAAATAGTCCTTCAAAAGAGTAAGGCAGCAGTTTATAAACTGATAGGAAGGACTGTTACGATGTTACAAAGTAGGAAAAAAAGCAAGGTGCAGAACAATGTAACACATTTGTAGATAGATACACATTTATATGCACAGAGTTGTCAATAAATGATACAGCTCACCTATTGAGAGGGAACTGATGAATAGAGTTCAGGTGTAAGAGGATTTACTTTTCCCTAGACCATAAGGAGCTCTGGTAGCATAGTGGCTAAAGCACCTGACTGCTAACCAGAAGGCTGGCGGTTCAAACCCACCAGCCACTCCTCGGAAGGAAGGTTGGGCAATCCTACTTCCGTAGTGATACTGCCTCGGAAACCCAAGGAGGGGTCGCTATGAGTCAGGGCTGACTTGACGGCACAACAACAACAGACCATATTATGGATGTATTATCTACTTTAAGGTGGGTGAAGGGGGCAATACCTTAAAGATTTTGTGTGTGTGTCAAGATGGAAGGAGGGGAGGAGATGCGACACTTTATCAAGTATCCCTCATACAACACAAATTTTTACTGTATCATCATTCCTGTGGAACCCCTCTACTTAGTAAAGAAGTTGCATTCCAGAAATTTCTAATAGTTATTTACAGATTTGTATGCAAAGGTGAGGGGAAAAAAGATTTTTTAAAAAATCAGAGTGCCACAAAAGATTATAAATAGCATAAAGTACAGAACAGTTCAAGACTCATAAGGTTAGTAATCGAAAACAATTATCCAACTAAGAAATCCCTAAGAATGAAGGGTTTTTGGGGGCTTGTTTTTGCTTTGTGGTACTCATCTCTTTTCTACAGAAAAATCAACTTACCTGTTTCAGTGTGTTATCTAGGTTTAGGGTTTGTCTGGCTCCCTTGTTAGCATTATACTTTAGAATACAGTATTTCTTTGTTGCTAAGTTTCTGGTATGCATGTGATTTAACTGTTGTTGTTGTTGTAATGTGCTGTCAAATCGGACTCCACTCAGCGACCCCTCCTTGTGTTTCCAAGGCAGTATCACTACAGAAGTAGACTGCCCAACCTTCCTTCCGAGGAGTGGCTGGTGGGTTTGAACCGCCAGCCTTCTGGTTAGCAGTCTAATGCCTTAGGCACTACGCTACCAGAGCTCCTGTGATTTAACTAGTTGGGTATAATTGGCTTGGTTATACATGGAAAATTATTTAATTCTGTATAGTGTTTTGCTGATAGGATTATTAAAAACTACTGACTAGTGAAAAATGCTGAAGCAAAATATATATTACAGGTTAGGAAATGTTTGAACTGCTACTGTGTTCTTAGTCATTCACATTTGGAGGAAAACTGTTTTGAGATTAAAAAAATATGTTCTTCTTAATATGCTAATAGAAACATACCAACCTATGGAAACAATATGTATAACATTCATTCAGTCACATGCCAAATACTATTCTAAGTGTGGTAGATTCTACTAGGAACAAAAATTCCTGCCTTTCTGCAAACACCATTCCTAAAGCTGACAATAGGCTTAAATTAAAATAAGCCTTTTAAATAGTTTCTCACAAGTTAAGAGATCCAATGAAAGTTTTTAGAAGGAGACGGATTATCACATTTAAAAATACATATATGTTATTCATTGGGGAAAACATACTTTCAGAGTGGGTTGAGTTTCTTACTTTAATAAATATTTCAGAGATATGTCATCCAGAGATGTATCTGTCAATATTATGTTAGTAAGCCTCTTGGGTTCATTCCAAAATAAGAGTAGATACTGTAACTGGGATGCCAAGACATTCAAATAAGGTTGAGTCCTATTTTACAAAGAGAAGCAGGCAAATGTCATTTGAAGAAAACAGGTGAAGTCAGACACACTACAAGCAAATTAAAAACTCTTGCCTGCTTTAGGGAAAAAAAATGATTTCCCTTTTTCCATATGGCACCACTTCTTGACTGAATTGATTTTTATTTTATAATAATGGCAGAAAGTTGTCCCTAGCCAACCCTATTGAAAACCTTTTTCTATTAAATCATATACACCTATTTGTTGTTGTTGTTGTTATGTGCCGTTGAGTCGGACCCGACTCATAGCAACCCCTCCTTGGGTTTCCGAGGCAGTATCATTACAGAAGTAGATTGCCCCATCTTCCTTCTGAGGAGTGGCTGGTGGGTTTGAACCACCAGCCTTCTGGTTAGCAGTCAAGTCCCTTAGGCACTATGCTACCAGAGCTCCCCATATACCTATTAATTGATCTCATATACAAAAGTATGAATTACTACAATGGCATGTTCAAGTTTATCAGACTTTATGGTACTATTAATAATTGAGCCTCCTCGATTCTCCCACATCTGTTATATTTGTTTTAGTCTCTTTCCATCAGCTACAGTCTTGTTTTTGTTAAGGTTAGCTTAGGATTCTTGAACTTCAGTAATTTACTTTTCATGTGATCTAGGGTTGGATTTTACTATTGGATTTAATATACAAGTCATAACCACAAATAATTCTCAGGTAATGGTAAAGTCAAAATTAAGTTGGGTTGTTTTCGAAATATATTGGAAATCAGAGACTTGAAATATTATAAAATTGTCAAGGGAAAGCATATGGCTTAGGGAATTATTACCTATTTTCTAATTTTTTTGTACACTCTTTACATCTGACAAACTGTAGCTTCGTTTTGTGAACTTTTATACTGATTGTCTATTATAACAATAAAAATTGTCACATCAGTAGAGATGTACAACAGGAGAGGCCTTGCTGGGGTAATAAAAGATTTGGTAAGAGCACTTTAAACCTCCTATATTCTACTGTTATTTTTCCACTGTGCTGAGAAGTTGACTGTAATAATAAGCAAGTTTAGCAATATAGAAGCCATTAAGAGGAAATTTGAAAGAAAGAAATTTAGGAAATTTTATTACCTTTGTGGACCAAAGATCCCATGGAAAGGAGCAACGTGATCTCAGACTTAAGTGTTTTTAAACAAATAGTTCAAGAAATAGAGGAGATAAGAATGCATTTCTATTTGATGTTACTCTTCAGCATTGCACAACACTCTTGTAATTTCAGTTTCTTTAGCTTCCCAGTTTTGAAGCCAAATAGAAGAGGCCTGTCTCACCTTTTAGTAAGAGGTCTCAAAAAAGTCTGGCTGCAATGTCTGAGTTTCCAAGAATTCTTTTAAGATGAGGACTGGGATTGTACTTTCTACTGTTCTTTATATTCCCCTCATAGTGCTGGGCATCTAACACACTCAACTGAACTGAACAATTTAGAAAGCTATTGTCTCAGTGGAGCAACCAAACCGAACCCACTGCCACCGAGTTGATTCCGACTCAAAACGACGCTATAGGACAGAGTAGAACTGCCCCATAAGGTTTCCAAGGCTGTACATTTTTACAGAAGCAGACTGGCTAATCTGTGGAGCAGCTGGGGAGTTCAAACTGCCAATCTTTTGTTTAGCAGTTGAATGCTTTAACCAGTACACCACCAGACCTTCTTGACTCAGTGAACAAGCACTTGTGAAAATAAGAATTATAGTAGATTCAAAGATGGACTTACGTAAAGATATTTT